GAACTCACGGACCGCGAGATCGTGACCTGAGCTGAAGTCGGACGCTTAACCGACTGAGCCACCCAGGCGCCCCTGTGGATTTTAAATCAAATTAACATGTGCATACAGTGCTTACTTTGTTTTTATTTGTTGTCTTCAGAATCTGGCCAGCCTATTTGTGGAAACGGGATGGTAGAGCAAGGTGAAGAATGTGACTGTGGCTACAGTGACCAGTGTAAGGACGAGTGCTGCTATGATGCAAACCAGCCAGAGGGGAAGAAATGCAAGCTGAAGCCTGGGAAGCAGTGCAGGTACCTGGCCGGTTCTGGTAGTGCTCGTGCTCCTGTCAGTCATCTGAAGGCACTTAGGACTGATTTAAAACTGACATTAAGAGATGCATATGGTTTTGAAACTTTGTCTTTATTTGCTTTCGTTTTATTTATTTTTCCAGAGTAGAATTGGTAAGTGCGCTGTGGTTGGCAGATGGAGCGCTTGTAATTGTAACTTGTGTGGTGGGTGTTAAAGACATGCAGGGATGCTCAGTAGAGTACACACTGTTTAGTTCCTAACTTAAAAATGTGACTGTCATCTGTATGTTTAGAATCTTAACTTCAAATATTTAGGAAATGAGCATTTCATAGACTCTTGTCATTAGTGTCATATGATTATTTTACTTGTCAAACTGGCTTTGGTAGTGATAGATATAAGCTATAGAATGTTGTTTGTGCAAGACTTTTTAAATGGTTGGTCTGTGTACCTAGTTTGATTTTAGCATATAAATGTGAGAAAAATTGATGAATTGACCAATGTATGATGTGCTGTGAAAAACATTGATAACTCACCTAATATTAAATCCATTTCCTATTGTAGCATTTCACTAGAGACAAGTAGAGTAAGACTGTTGAATATAGTATGCATTGATTGTAAAAATAAGACAATCATTTTTTTATTTACACTTATAAATGTTGAAATTTAGCAGCCTCTTAGTCCAAAATTTGAAGTTTTATACCAGTAACCTACTTAACATTTAAAAGATGAGATTGACGATTTAAAAATTAGGACCATATCTATGTATATAGGAAATATCCTAGTCATTTTCTTTAAACACTTCAATGTTAATTCTAGCCCAAGTCAAGGTCCCTGTTGTACAGCACAGTGTGCATTCAAATCAAAAACTGAGAAGTGTCGGGATGATTCAGACTGTGCAAAAGAAGGAATATGTAATGGCATCACAGCTCTGTGCCCAGCCTCTGATCCTAAACCAAACTTTACAGACTGTAATAGGCATACACAAGTGTGCATTAATGGGGTAAGCATTTGATTTATAAGCTTTTATTTAGTTTTATAAAACCTGCTTTTTCTGAATAATTGTTTGTCATTTAAAGCTGCAGAGTTACAGCCATTAATCCCAGTCCCTGTTTCAATAAGAGCCCTGTCTGTTTCCCCATAAAGCCATGAATGTATCATGTGGCATAAGTGCCTGATGGCATTCAATTAGTTACTGACTTACCTTTCGTCTTTCCACTGCATATGTTTGATGGTCTCTAGAGAAAAATAGTTGTATGACTAGGTACATGACTTTGTACTGCTTTTGAGCTTTATAAATCAGTTTTTAACAGCCCATATAAAAGAACTCTTCTGGTCATTTTCTCTGTGAAGTGTTTAAAGCTTTCTTGGCTAAATAATCACTTTCCTGTACATGAGGAAAATTTCATTTTTCTCTTCTTACAAAGGAGCAATAATCACTATAAAAGTGATGCTCATCTAATCTCTTCTCTGGTTTTGTTTTGTTTAGATTTTTTTTAAGTTGCCATTTCTTTGAAAGATTTCCTGTATTAATTGCACTTACCTCTTTTTCAAATGTGTTTATGTGATCCGTTTCTGATGCTAATCTATGCTTGCCCCCCACTTTTATTTCTATTTAATTATATTAGCATTGGACGTGTATATTTGTCTATTACTATGAATTAATAGGCTTGACTGTATAGGGATTAAATAATTTATCTTTTATTTTTCTTTCAGCAATGTGCAGGTTCTATCTGTGAGAAGTATGGCTTGGAGGAGTGTACCTGTGCCAGTTCTGATGGCAAAGATGATAAGGAATTATGCCATGTCTGCTGCATGAAGAAGAGTAAGCTTTTAAAATGCAAGAATATAAAATCTGTTTCAAAACCTAATTGTTTCCTAAAAAAAAATTTTTTTTAAGTAAACGCTACCCCCAGTGTGGGGCTCAAATTCACGACCCCAAAATCAAGGGTCATTTGCTCTACTGACTGAGCCAGCCAGGCACCCCATTTTTCTCCTAAATTTTAAGGATTAAAGTTTGATATCCAGTTTGGACAGATAATTTCCACCTAAACCAATCCTCCGTGGAAATTTTCAAGTGTAGCGCAGCGTTGTATTTCTAGTATTATCGTCCTTACAGTGTTTTAAAAACGATAAGCTAGACAAAAACCTTCCAGCTTTAGGGCAATAATTAGTATAAAAACTGTTAGAGGGTTTTAAAGCCATTGTAGGTACTAAGTCAAGAGTTGCTGGCTATTTGTTCATATATGTATTTTTTAAAGTTTATTTATTTATTTTGAGCTAGAAAGAGAACCAGCAGGGAAGGGGCAAAGAGGGAGGCGAACAGAGGATGAGAAGTGGGCCCTTTGCTGACAGCAGAGAGCCCGATGCTGGACTCGAACTCACGAACTGTGACATCATAACCTGAGCCAAAGTTGGACGCTCAGCCGACTGAGCCACCCGGGCACCCCTATGTTGTATACTTAAGGCGAATTACCTGTGATGTTATCTAGCCTAACGAATGAAAGTCTATATAACATGTCATGGTAATGATTTTAGGCAGTTTTTTCCTTTCCTCCCTCTCTCCCCAGCTAGCCTGGTAGGAAATCTGACCTTCAACTTATATTTGGCACTTCTTTTCCAGTGGATCCATCAACTTGTGCCAGTACAGGGTCTCTGCAGTGGAGCAAGCACTTCGTTGGTCGAACCATCACCTTGCAACCTGGATCCCCCTGCAATGATTTTAGAGGCTACTGTGATGTTTTCATGCGATGCAGATTAGTAGATGCTGATGGCCCTCTAGCTAGGCTTAAAAAAGCAATTTTTAGTCCAGAGCTCTATGAAAACATTGCTGAATGGATTGTGGTAAGTATAGTTTTTATTTGTAAAGAAACCTTATCTTAAAATGGTTTTATCATCATTTTACTTGGCCAGAGGTCACCAATGTTTTGAGAAAATCACTTCTCTCCTGTTTATACCAGAATCACTTTATCCAAAGAATGATTTTTAAAGTTCAAATATCCCCATGTATTATTTTCTTTTAAAGTGATTAGAATCTCTACATGTATATTGTTTGTAGATTAATTGGTAGATGATGAGAGTCCTTCTATTTTACTCTGCTCCCTGGTTCTTCTCCTGAATGGGTTACTTCTCCCTTTGGTCTGTATTATTAGGGCATTTTCATGGGATTTTTTTCTCAAGTTGTTTTGGAAAGCCTTGCTTGCTTTTTATATTTCTCCCTTGTCTCAGAATGACGGATAGCCAGCTTTGGCTTCTACTTTGTGGAATGGGAGAAATGAAAGGGAAATTGGTGATTTTCTGAAGGTTTTTTTTTGCTGTTTCAGTATAATTTCTTGGTCTTTATCTTGTCAGTGATCAGAAATGTTGAACAGTTAAGATGTGATACCGAGCCTTTTGCAGATTTGTTAATGAATATAGATGTTCATCTAGCATAAATCCACTGAACTTTATTATTTTTAAGCCCACATTTCTCCAAGCTGTACAGATGTTGAATTACCTGAAATTTTCTTAAAAGACTGCTGAGAATGGCTATCTAAAGTCACTTGAATATTCACATTTCTAAGTGATTACATTAAAATATCAGTAAATTTTGACTCATATATCACTTGTGTATTTTCTACTATATATAAACATATATAT